AGTGTTTTTTTTTCTTTTTTCATGACCACCTAATCCACGCGTCTTAGAAGTGAAAAATCCCTGAGATCTGTTTATAATCTTGTCTTAAAGAGATACCCTGACCTGATGCAGCCACACGTCACCCTGTCGGACCACATTATCATGCAGACAAATCCAGTTTGGGAACAGAGAGGGGCACACACACATTATACAGGCTGGGCCACTGAGTCTCGCAATAGTGTGCCCGCATGCGTGTGCGAGTACGTGCGTGCGTGCGAGAGAGAGAGAGAGAGAGAGAGAGAGAAATAGAGAAAGAGAGAGAGTTCCCTTGACTTCACAGGAGACAGTGAATAAAGTCGGAGCCAAAGCAAAACTGATAGCTGACCTAATTTTCTCTGTGGTACCCCACCCACCCCCCCCCCCCCCCAAAAAAGAGAAAAAACACACATCTTAGGAAGGTCAATCCAGAACACATACACATATTTGCACGCCGCGTGTAACTGTGTGTGTGTGTGGGGGGGGGGTCTTGCATGCACAAGCGCACGGTGAGTGAATACGCCTGTGTGCATGCATGTGTTGGCGTATGTGCGGGGCGTACATGTCAGCATCAATACGTAATGCAGTGTCAGAGGTTTACATGCGTGTGCTGCTGCTGCTGCTGCTGCTGCTGCGTGCGATTGGCCGCGCCCGGCCCTCATGCTTCATGTGCACAAGGTCTGTGCGGCAGGGGTCATCATGCAAATACAGCATATATAAATCATAGCTCTGCGGATTTCGTTTCCGTGGCAGCGTCTAAATCAAAAAACGCTGACTCTTATGAATGTCATTAAGGGGTCTCTCTAAAAACTGTATTGGTATTAGTATTAGTAACAGCGGTAGATAGTAGTGGTAGTGATCTACAAAAGCTTTCAGGTGTTGACTTCATGTCAAACAATAAGCGCTACTCCGCCCCGAGCCACTCTTACTCAACTGGCCTGTCTCTATAAAATATAATAGTGTGAGTAGAAATGGTAGTACTAGGAGTAGCAGGAGTACTTAAACTGTATCTGTACATGTATCATAGCTTGTGTTGACTTAGCATCCTTCTTCCCAACCGGCCCCGCAACTGACTCAACCAGAGGTATCGTCAACAACTTTCCCACCTTTTTTAGAGCCGGCATTTCTTTAGCCTCTCCATTGCAAAAACCCAGTGTAGCATCATCTTGTTAGCCGTCACACCACCGCAACAAGCTATGCTTCTTCCCAGTGACTTCACGAGAAGGAGCTCTTGGGGGGGTGCGGGTGGGGGGGTTAGCATGTTACGCTAACATACGACGCAAACGTAAGCATATGACGCTTACGATTGCCGAGCATAGCGGGGGGCTGATGCTGATGCGGTGGAGCAATGTTACAGATATACCACCACCCCCCCACCATCCACCATCCGCAATCCTTCACCCACCCACCTAGCCAATCACCTCGCGACATAGCAGTGCCAAGCCGCCGTCGACCTCCACATAAGGTCACCAATTAGAGAGCTAGCGGTAGGAAACGAGACGCCCGGGCGCTGTCATTACTGCGCCAGACAGTGTGAAAGACCACCCCCCACCCCCCACCCCCCCCCCCCCCCACACACACACACACACACACACACAGCCCCCCCCCTCCGCCACATACACACCACTGACCACCACCCTCCGACACCCTGCGTGCCCCGGCCACGTCATCCATAATTCATGCGCCCGGGAACATATGAAGGGCACATGGGGAACGCTTCGTCAGGGTCCCTTGCTTTTTTTTATTATCTATTTATTTATTTTTGGACACAGAGTATGACACGAGGAAACAGGGACATTCGCAAGCTACTTCAACTCGGGTCCCTTGTGGCAGGGGTTCTTGTACAACGTGGCCTATGGCGTGGGGACACGATTGTGGTGATATGTAGCACTGGAAAGACGAGAAGAGTATGAGGATTTAGGCTCTGTTGTCTACTAACACAGAATACGTGTCGTTAGAATTGTTTTAAATTAAATATATCTCAATATTTCTTTTGGCTTATAATAACTTAAGTCTAGTGGTGAGTATCAGCCCAAAAAAGGATCTGTGTTTCCACACCTGATCAGCTACTGTAGCAACAATTTCATTAAATGTTTCATAAAATCCTTATAAACATACACTGTCTTGATGTTAATAGTCTGTTGGATGCGAGCATGTACAGCCTTTAGATCATGTTCTGTAAAACCACAGCTGTTGCAAGATTTCTTAACCAAGTCTTGGCAGCAGACTGATGGTTAAGTATTACAAACTGTGTGTCGGTAGATGTATGTGTGTGCTTTGCTTACTTTCAATGTCATGACCGTTGATATAAAAAGCAGTCCAATCACAACTTAATTAAACATTGCTGCAAAGCACAACACTGTCGTTGATTTTCTGTGTGTGCGCGTGTGTGAGAGATTATGCATGTCATCTATACATACACCCAGCCATCATTACAGTCAGCGTATTTCCCCATCACCCCTGCCCACCCTATCTAAACCTATCCTAGCCCTTAAAGAAATCAGTATTCTGTTAACAGCTCACTCGTGCCTCATTAACCAAGGCAAGGCTAGAGGTTGCCATGGCGACCCCCGGCGTAAAAAAAAAAAAGGCCATCGGGGGTTCACTACGTGTCGGCCCAAACCTAACCCTGCCAATCCACCCCACCTGCCTAAGACCCTGCCCCGACTGGCTGACAAAGCGGCCGGGGGGGGTGCAAAGGACGTGAACGGTCAGCTATGCAATGCAAATTCGATATTAGGTGTATGGTTAACTCATGTATTAGAATTGCTGGTGAGTGGAGAACTGCGTAACTGCTATTGCAGTGTGGTTATGCAGGGCGGAGGGGGTGGTGGTGTGTGGGGTCCTTATTAATGGCAGGCTACGCCATGTAACCCCCCCCCCACCCCCACCCACTTTTTTTTTTGGTTTCGAGAGTAGGACGTTAATCGGCTTGCATGTTCCCAGGCAACGAGGGCCACTCTATGCACTAATAGCACTCCAGGAAATGACCTTGACGACTTGGAAAAAAAAAAACGAGAGCATTAAGTACAACACTTTAACGTGCAATTACGCACTCGTTTGAATGGTGCTGTCACCTCACTGTAGGTTAAGTCATCGCGGGGCCCGGAATAGACGGAAAAAGTAAATAATTAAATATAACTCTTTCCCTTTTTATTTCACATGCACACTTCAAACCACTATCCAAAACAATTAAGAGACGTGGAAGGTGCTTTGATGTGAGGGCCCGCGGACCTGCACAAGGTCCTATTACTCGTTTAGGCGTTGAGACCATTCAAGAAGCGACAGAAGTTCAAATCCACGTTGTCGGGTGGCATGACAACTTGTGGCCGCGTTAGTTGGTTAGAGTTAGTTACACATTGCGGAGTATTGCGGTCACTTACATCTCTGGTGAGAACAGGAAGAGCAATGGCGTCTTTTTCTTCTTTTCCTCTCCCGTCATAGACAAACTCTTGATAATTAATGCAGGTAACAATATAGGCCTACACATCGCGATTTGACTTCGGTGTCATAGTTCTATTGGTTGTGTAACACATACGAATTCGTCCATCCATCTCCATCCACACAACCTGGTCAGGGATCGCACAGGGCTGCAAAACACACACACATACACATACACACTCATTCCTGCAGGGCAATCTATTAAGGAGCGTTCACATGAAACGCGGTGGGGCACCGTGCGCATCGCTAGGTCGGGCGTTGTGTTCTCCAGCACGGCATGTTTAAAACACGACATCACCCACAGCTTCAAACATTAACAGTATAGCTGACTTTGACTGTATGAAGTTTGAAGTTGGCTCATGGGCCCACAAGCAGACCCAGGATTGGGTTCAACCCCCCAAGATCAGTTCTCTACAGCGGCAAGGTAAGCTGTGCTACCACCACCACCACAACACATATCCTCTTCGATAGTCGGTCCAGTCCACGGCACCCACGGTGCTACTACTGGGCCCACCCATTTTAGGCCCGGGCCCACCCATTTTGACCAATCACTGAAGTAAGTAGTGAGTGATTTTTATTCTAGCTGTTCATCCAATAAGCAGCCTGAGGAAAGCTTTGAGTGAAAGCTTCTCAGCCAATCAGTGGCTTCTACCCCACGTGTGGGGTAGTCTTAAGCCTGCCCACAGGCTGCATCGTCACCAGCAAGTGATCCAATGAAATGAATGATGTTGGCGGGCAAGCTTTTCAAGCAAGCGCAATGAGACAGTAGCTATAAGCTAAAATGAAACGTCAACATGCCAACCAAAGTAGCTGGTTTTCATTTAAATTCACAAAGAAACGCTCCGGATTTCCGTCCAGCTCGGCCACCCTCTCCCCATCAAGTCCTCCCGTAGCCACACCCTCACAGGTAGGCTACTGAGTCGCTGTCCTCAGTGCCGCAGAAAAAGTGCTGAAACGGAGATAAAGGGGAACCTACGGAAGCCGAGAACGGCCGTGGTTGCTCATAATTTTTTAGGCCCGTTATCTCGAGATCACAACTTAATTATCTTGTTATCTCGACTTATGAACATGTTGCATGTCTAGTAACACCAACCCGGCAGCTCCACACCACTCCAACATCAGTCATGAAGCCGGCCAGGGCCTCGGATCTGGTTCGCAATGAAGCGGACAATTGCGTCAGGCTCACTTAAGCAAACTCGCCTATAAAGTTGGAGCCTGGCTAGTCTTCTTCTTAACTGACGAAGACTTATGAATGTTGTCTATAATAGAAAGACACAATGCCATTTCGGCTTGTGTCAGTCCTTCATTAAAGTAAAATCTGATCTGTGGATCAATCGTGGTCTCTCCTTCTGACATTGTCAATGCTTACTGTAAGAACATCAATGGGGAAGTCAAGTTGAGATCTCGGCTTCCATGGGAACCCATTTTTTGGCTTATTTTAACTGGCCCATCCAGTTTTTCTGGAGGCCCACCCACAATCAAAATCCTGGCGCCGCTAGTGGTCCACGGTAGGGGGTTAGGGCGTCTTGCTGAAGGATGCCTACAGGTCAGACACTGGGATTCGAACCCACGCTTCGGCTGGGAACACCTTTAACCACTAGACTAGACTGACAGACCTTTTTCACAGAGATGTCATCATAACACTAATTATGGGTCTGCTCCTTTAATGTCCCAGCAGGCCCGGCTAGTGGATGTATCTCCTCTAGTTTAGCCTACTGGTACATTAAACAGAGCAGAGCCATGATTAGTGTTAGGAGCGACACCTGTGTTTGTCCTACGGTGACGCCTCTGTGGGAGGGTCTATCCGGTTACCCCTGAAACAAAGACATGTTGACTTGTGCGGTGAGTAGTCGTGTATGTTAAGCTTCTTGTGGCTTATGTCTTATTTCATAGGACCTCATTGACTGCCAGGGCTCGACGATCAGGTGGATTGACGTGGTTTACATCAAAAGTCTCGGTTGACGTCCGGTACAAAAGGACCACGAGATTAAAGGACAAAATGCCGGCCACTATAAGGTAACCGTGGAGATCCTTTCGGTCGATGGTGCACTCCAGGAGAATTTGATTGGCGGATTATTATGTAATCTTATTATTCCCGCTGCGCTTGATCTCACCTAAGCTTGACACAGACGAGATACGATAGAATAATACGATCACAAAAGACAATAATAATAATCTAAAGAGTTCTAGTGTTTGAGTAACATCGTTGCTCTTGTTGCCCTCCAAGTAAATAGAATTAGGGGAACGTATAACTGGTAATGATGTAAAAGAAAACTAAACAAGTCTTTAGCAGTAATTAAACGATAGAGGGGAGGCGATACATTTTATTAAAACAAAAACAAAAATATTGAAAAGAAAATGTGGAAGCGCTTTATATTAAGGTCCTTGTAATAAGCGTTAGTTAATAGGTAATAAGGCCCTTAATAAGCATTAGTTAATGGGTAACTGCTAATAAATGCATAACAAAGTATGTATTAATCTTTATAAAGCAAGAACAAAAGCTTAGTTAAGGTTTAACAATGACATTATAGGTAAGTTAGTTAAACTTAATAAATACACATAATAATGTTTATAAGCATATTATAAGGACTTATAAGGCCCTTATTACCTATTAACTAATGCTTTTTAAGGGCCTTATTACCTATTATGTAATGCTTATTACAAGGACCTTAATATAAAGCGCTTCCGAAAATGTTTTTCTCCATTGTCAACATTCAACATGAATTGAAGAACACATTTCCATGTTCCATAATGCCATGGGATTTCGAATGGCATCACATTTCATGCTATCCATCGTTCATTTAACCGTTAACGCCTCTGTACTATAGAAAAAGCCGTAAGTGCCTCTATTGCAGGGCAATCACTCCACCTAATTTCCCTGTCACCATATTTTGAAGCATATCCCTCTTTTATAGCAAATGCATGATGTGGATTATAACAGGAGCTGCATTGTATTTCCTATATCCCCGTGTGGTAATCGCTAGACAGCCTATAATTCTCGTCTTCCCCGACGTTGGTCCACACATGGCCCTGTCTCGGCAGGACTGCTCCTATACTGCTATTCTCCCTCTCTCCCCCCCCCCCCCCCCCCCGCCTTGCCTTCGCCGCAGTCATTCAAAACGCTGGCTGCTCCAATGTTGCTAGGCTACGTCGCCTGTATTTCTCTCTCTCTCTCTCTCTCTCTCTCTCTTTTGTGTCGGTTGGAAAGTCCACTGTTCAATAAAAGCCGCTCGGAGAGATGGGGGGGGAGGGGTTTGAACGCCGAGCGACACGAGAAACCGACAACATTAATAGCCCTTGTTTTGTTTTGCTTTCACAATAGCCCCCCCCCCCACACACACACACACACACATCTAAACACACATGTATATGCACACACACGCACATGAACACACACTTTAACACACACACACACACTATCACATCAGCGTGTTCCCCTTCTCCATGCCTCATCTCCTTCAATCAGAGTATTGCCACTCGGAGACAGTTATGGATTCCAGTGGACATACATTTCTGTTTTTAAATAGTACTCCTGCTTCTAGATGCTGGATACCGGCATGATGAAAATGCCACTGATACAGCCCATACGTCACTCTCGTCGTGTTTGGTTGGCACCGCCACCATTAAAACATGCTCGTCGTGTATTTATTTTTATGTTCAGCATTGGACGTTTGTGTTCAACTTTTTGCTCTTTAAAAAATGGTGAGGTCTCTCTCTCTCTCTGTGTATATATATATATATATATATATTTACATCTCTCTGTTTCTCAACCTCTCTCTCTCTCTCTGTCTCTCTCTCTCTCTACCGCTCTACCTCTCTCGCCCTGGGTTTGTGGGTGGGTGTGTGGCAGGCCCCTCTTGAGAGCAGCTTAACCCCAGCGCAATACCAGTCCTTGATCCTTGAACCCGGGTTGGGGGTGTGGGGGAGGCACGCGTCGACCCCTCGACCCTGGACGCCAAGCCAACTGATTTCCCTAGAGGCCCCCAATCAAATGAAAATAAAAATAAAATAACTCTTCTCTGTATTTTTCAGAAAACACTTGGGGGGGGGGGGGGGGGGGGGGGGGAGTAGCAGGAGGAGAAGTCATTTATCACTGTTTCGTTTACCTAGTTTTGTTTTTAGTTTTTTTCATCATTTAGTATAATATTTTTTTGTGTGAGGGGATTTATCTCCACTCCCTGACTTTCTTATTGAATCTTGTTCCCATTCCATTTCCTCTGTGCTGACCTTTGGGAGATTTAGACGAGTATTGCATGAAGTGTCTTTTGATTTGACGGGAGAAAAGGAGCCCAGTCTGCCTCTGTTTATCCAAAACATGACACTGACAAAAATCTCAGCTGCTGTGAACTGCATCTGGTGAAACTGAACTGAGGAGGATTTTAGGGCCGCACTTTTCCGCTGGTACCATGTTGCAGCTGTTTGTGTTGTGTCAGGTTCAAATCTGGGGAATAACACTTATGGGGGGGGGAAAAAAACATTGAGATCATTTTCTGTGGAATACAAGTCAATAATCCACCGTCATATCTCCTTTAAATTCAGTTAAAAAGCACAATTGCAACTACAGCACCGAATTTGCCGAAAGTCTCAAAGTTCTGCAATTGTTATCTATGATTTTTTTTCTCTCTGAGTTAAAAAAAAAAAGCAGGCAATAATCAAATTCCTACCAGCCGTCGACACAACAGATTGTGTCATTGTCAGAAATAAGAGCGGGAAAGGTAAAAAAAAAAAATAATGAAAAAAACGAAACCATCTTTTGTCACAGTATAATATTGATTCACACTGTTGCTTTGTTTGCCCATTCCGCTTGGCAGGTTCGCATATTGTGTGTGCGTCGGCATGTAAAAAGCCGTGCTGCCATTGCATATCGGTATGCGGAGGCGAGGTGGGTAAGGAGGGGGGGGGGGGGGGGGGGTAATGGGGGTTGGTGCGGACATTATGAAGATGGACGACGCTGTCACAGCATAGACCATGCAAGCGTTTCCCTGCTCTACCCCCCCCCCCCCCCCCCCCCCACACTCTACACCCTATTCTGTTATCATTATCATAGCTGATGGCATTGTTAGAGTTGCCATTTCTGGAAAGGCGGGCGGCGGCGGCGAAGACTGCGGGCAGCGGCCTGCGAAGACCGCAAGCGAGAATAGCTAAATGGAGTACAAGAAAGAAAAAAGTAACATGGTGACATTGGAATTCATGGGCAAGGCATGGCTTGTGTAATTGGGAGCACACAGCCCCCCCCACTAAGCTGTAATGAAACTGCGTGCGGTCATGATACAGACACAAATAAACGTTCTCGCGGGCTTTTGTGTGTGTGTGTGTGTTATTCTTGAAGGACATTTTGTTTAGCTAATGGCCTTACGACGGCCCTAGCGCGAGGCAACATTTCCGGGGAGGGGACAACAACAATAAAACCTCGGTGCAGGCAGATTTCAGGTTTTTTTTGTAAACATTGTGCGAGATGTGCGCGGTGAATGTAATCAGAATTCAGCGATGCTAGGGCACGCGTGCTCTCTGTACGGCCGCCATGCTATGCTACTCACGCGCTAGACAAAAGTGATTGCGACTGCAAAATATCTCCAGTCGGCAGCAGTGCTCACAGTTGAATACCGGTGAGTTCACGTCTTCACTTACGAGGCGCACATGTTAATATCCCCTACTCTCATTCTCTCTCTCCCTAACTCTCTCTATTGCTCTCTCTCTATATTGCTCTCTCTCTCTCTCTCTCTCTTGCTCTCTCCCTCGTTGTCCTTTAGGGCGGTGAAGCAGGTGTGATAAATGCTAGCGTTTAAATCAAAGCACCCCCCTCTCGTTCACTCCCTCCCCACCCCCAGCCTCACCCGCTCTGGGGAAAAGGAGGAGGAGGAGGAGGAGGAGGAGGCCTGCCTGGGACTAGATTGATATCGAGGGGGGGGGGGGGACCCAGAGAGGGTTTTTGACGGATGGTCTGACAGGATAAAAAAATTAACATTATTCCCAGCGTACAAGCTATGATTCACCCCCCCCCCCCCCCCCCCCCCCCCCTCACCCCATGAACCACCCTTCACCGTCACCCCCCCACCCCACACACACACACACACCCATACTCCCTTCGCCACGCTCCCTGATAATAGTATAGTACATCATAGGTGCACACTGCCCCCTCCAGTGAGTAGCACTGCTGCAGTGTTTGTATATTATACTGTGTACTGTGCTACTGTGTACTGTGCTACTGTGTACTATGTTGTGTATGTGCAACTGTGTACTGTGATACTGTGTACTGTGTACTGTGCTACTGTGTATTGTGCTAATGTCTACTGTGTACTGTGTACTGTGTACTGTGCACTGCTGCTGCTGTGTCCCACCTCTGTTCGGAGCAACCAATGGCGCAGTTTGGCATTTTGTTTTGTATTCGTTCGACTCAAAGGGCCGTACATCTATTTTAGAATTTAACAAATGTGTGTGTGTAGGGGATTTGATTACTGCACCAGCTTCCTGTTTGGGTCAGGAAGCTGTTGTGTGTTATCATGTCTGCCCATGAGGGCACCCATTACACTCCGAACCATCCCTAGAAGGAGAGATCCTCTTTCTGCATTAGACCTGGTGTTCTGATTGGTTCAGGGCAGGGAGCAGGCACCT